GCTAGAAGAGAGACCGTTTTCATTTTTAGACTAGAATGGTGATGGAGTTATTCAATGAAGTCACTAAATGTACTGAACTCAATGCAGTTTAACTTATGTGTACTGCTGAGGAATTCAGGACTAACTACTATCGGATGTTCCCAGATTATTCATTCATTAATCTTGATAAAATACTAGAAATCACTTATATTTGTTATTTGATTGTAATTAGTCATAATAGCTCTATTTTGTTATCACCTAGGTGACCATATTATTGATTTTATAGTAAGACCTAGTAATAGTTTTCCAAAATATATTATAGAATTTCTACAACTGTCCATAGTTAATGGTGGATTGACTTTTTTCTTATTATAATAATACATTTTTTTGTATAAATTATGGGTTGGATAAATAGAATGGAAGCAGATACATTTTGATAAATCAAACTTGACCAGTTAAACAAGTCATACCAAATAAAATAAATAAATTACTGTTCCTTAGAATGCAAATTAAGTTAGTTTGTGAGAAAAAAAACCGCTAGAGATTTAATTGACTTTCAATTTATTTTGTTTATTTGTGCCAATTTGCAATGCTAATTTATTTTACATCTTTAGGTTACATTACTCTTCTGTAATCATGTGTGCATATTTATGATTTAGAGCATTTTATATAGGTTTATAGTTTGTCTATAAAAAATGAGAGTGAACCAATCAAATGCCAGTGACCTTCACAAATGTGTTTCAAATCAATAATCAGGCTAATTTTTTCAGCTTTGTCTCAAATAAACAAATGATTTTAATAGACAAATAAAAGTTTTTTTTATTTTTTATGTAAGCTTTTGCTGATCTACAAATTTTTGTGTTTAGTTTTTCACAGATAAGGTGAATATATTATTTTGTAAATCCTGAATAGTCGAAAATATCAGAATAAAGCGACGGAGTCTTAATACTTATTTGATCTTTGATAGTTTAACCCACGGTGGTAAAAGTTTCATCAAGTAATCACTTAATTTCCTTATCAATAATTCATTTTAATCCAGGGATTTTGTGGATTGCATTTGATAATCCACTGACTGAATTATCGTACAACTAATAAGAATATTACGTTTTGTAAACAAGGCGAAGAGCTGTCATTCATGAACTACTAGAATGGTCCTATGCTTTTTTATACATTTGCGAATAAAATAATCTTGTGCCGATTATAGAATATTAAAATGTATAAAAATATTCAGTTGCTTTTTCGAAACTGGAGATTGTTTTCTGATTGTTTAGTTTCCACTAAAAGACGGTTCGGGAAATTGCAACCTACTGAAATGTTTATACTTGACCAGTCGCTGTCCAGTGGGAATTAGCGATAAAAGTTAGTTTCTTATGGATAAGATCTCTTATTACTCCCAAATACCCGCTCGAAATAATTACGTATCTTGAACACCATAAAAAATTGAGAATAATTCAAATACATTGAAGGATATTATGCAATTGTTTATGATTCATTTTTTGTCTTTCAAGTGTACTGCTTCAGAATGAGTTTCATCTATGCAGAAATTCGTTAACAGTAAGTGAAGTTAATGTTTACAGACTTTATTTGATATACTAATTAGTAAAGAATGCAGTCTAGATTATCTAAATTTCATTAACGTTACGAAAAACTAATAGGATCCCAAGAAAATTTTGATTTACAATATTACTACTTACATTCACTTAATATATGTCTGTTCATTCAGATAATTAGTGCTACAATTACCTAACAAAACCATACATTATCAACTATTATGAAACTTCAAAGATTCTTTATGGCTGACACTAAACTCTTATTATCCAAATGGTCTACTCAATATTCAGTTAGAATAATGACCATAGGTTCACTATAAAATGTGATTATTTTTTCCCTTTTTATAATAGGGAAAAGAATTCTTTCAGTTTTAAAACAGATTGTATCTGACGGAAAAAAGGTAAAGGATAGATGCTTGATTAGAAGTATTAGACAGTTTTATTGGCATATAATCAACTGTCAGGAATTTCAGATTGATGTAATCCAATGAAAATTATTATCGAGATTCAAAAATATGGTCACTAAACAAGATATACTATCAGTAATACAATCTTTTAAATAAAGAACTTAAACAAAATAAATAAACAAGAAGATAGTGGATTTTAATTTTTAGATTTTAATCACTAAAATACCCCCCAAATGCCCTGGTACGACCGAAAGGGGAGAGAGTCAGCTCTTCCTCTCGAAATGCTCTCACATGGCCACGCGTGTACAGCCACTACCAGGGAAGTTCTACTCACTGCCTTCTCAAACCCTGATGCAAAACTAATAGTGCACATGGTCTCCAGTATCCCGAAGGAACAAATGGCGTATGAATCAATTGTTGGTCAACGGCTATCATGGGACTGCATCTCCTTACGATGCCCCACTGCCTTGTGGATCAAACCTATAGGTCGAAGTTTGCTGGTGTGGCCCCCTATGAAAACCACCTGCGTCGGTCTGGGCACCCGTGCAGTAACACAACCCACACACAAATCAAATGAGATTTGTGTGGCGCATATGTATCTGGTGCCCCTTGTACTAATATTTATGTGTTCAAATAAATATAAATAATAATTTAAGACATCTTTGATTAATGCTATTCAATTCAGTAGATATTTTAAAAATACAAGTTCTATATCAGACAAACATCATTTTACAAAATCACAGATTATATTTCATTATTTTTCCATGAAGCATTTTCTTCTTAAAATGATAATTTAAAATGAAGTATCTGAATTATGATGAATCTAACCATGATTTTGCTTTTTTTTTCTTTTTTTTTTTCTTACCTTTTCTAACAATATCAATCATTTTTGTTTTGAAATAATAATTTTTATGATAAACTAATTATAAACAATCAACATTTTCTTAGCTAAACATGTTTGATAATTCACATATCATTAGAAATAAATCAGGCAAATGATTTATCATGTTCATTTTTAAACATCATAAACAGTATTGAATTATCAGAAGAAATCATCAAAATTGTTTTCTGTTTTTGTAAAAAAATAAGAAATATCAGATGGGTTTTGTGAATATTATAGTAATTTCAGTGGTTCAGATCATGAGTCAGTTGAAGCCAGACCACCATGGAAAACCTGGAAGGACTAGACGGCTGTTTCGAATCTCGCAGGGGGCAAGGTCGTGGATGCGCACTGCCGAGGAGTCCCACGATAGGACGAAACGGCCGTCCAGTGCTTCCAGGTTTTCTATGGTGGTCTAGCTTCAACTGACTCATGATCTGAACCACTGAAATAAGAAATAGTTCACCGAATCCAGTTTGATTTTGTAGATTTATTGACTACTGACATTATTATTTTGATGAGTGATTTTCATTCTTCAGTCAAAGCGATAGATATACTTGATTAAACGAGTATTACAATGGCCTTCTTTGATATATTGTACATTTCATTATATGATGGCAGAGCTAATAACTTTAGAAAACATTTGGGAGTTAATCATTTGTAAAGAATTTAGGTAGGATTACCATCAAAACTACTCAAAAGTTGTTTATTTGGTCGATTTGCAGATATTTGAATAATAAGATCATTGTTTTAGTCATGGATATATATTATCATTCAATTCATGATTATTATTAGGTTTATTCAGTAATATATTTTCGGTACAATATTTAATTCTTAACACAAAGTATTTCAACAAGTTTTTGTTTCTCCCTTCTTGATCGATCCTGATGATAAATATTGAGTGGTCGCCAGTTAGAAGTTAGCAGTCCAGGAATCGACATCTGAATAATGTACTTTCTTTTCGTTGCATAGTGCCAGCAAACACGATGTCTGTGATTGGGCTTTTTTGTAAATTTTACGGAAAAAGGTCGTAAACCTTTCATAAACGCACATGATTAGCTTATGCGATGATTATACATAGTAATGTATTAAAACAAACCAAAACAGATAACTTGTTGAAAAATCCAGCTGGCAGGGACAGGTAGCCCAGAAGTTAAAGCAGGCCGCTAGTGAGGTAATCATTTTTAGCCAATATTTAGTTAGTATTTCGTTTCTGACATGACCGAAACATAACATCCCCAAGCGATAACTGCTAGGACTGAAAAAAATCGACTTGATACATACCAAAAAGCAAAGATACCTGATGAGAATTCATTAGATATTTCACTAGTTGAAATCATGAGTCAATTGAAGCTAGACCACAATGTAAAACCTGGAAGCACTGGACTGCCATCCAGTGAAATTTATAAAATCTCCACAAAACCACTTCTGATAATAATCATCTGCTCACTAGCGACTGACTTCAATAGAAACTCCTGGAGTTCTAGTGAGAAGCCTTTACCTGTGGAGTTCAACTAGGTCTATTGTGAGATAGGAACTCACTGAAGACAATGGTGTACGGTGGCGCAACTTCGTGGATTGGTTGAAGTTAAACGTTAACACCGTTGGATGCCAGCTCAATGGTCTAGTGGTTAAGAGCTCACGCACGAGATTGATAGGTCCTGGGTTTGAATCTCGCGGGGGTTGGATCGCGGATGCGCAATGATGAGGTGTCCCATACTAGGATGAAATGGCCGTCCATTGCCTCCAGATTTTCCATGCCGGTCTAGCTTCAATTGACTCATGATTTCAACAAGTGAAATTTCTAAAATCTCCACAAACCCCTTCTGATAATCCATTAGATACGGAAAATACATTAAAGTAAATATCTAAATACTTTGGTTTTTATGAACTTTATTTGAACTGACTAATAGTTAGCTCTTGTCACTTCTAGCTGATTATCATACAGAACTAATTACTCAATAATTTATTAAATAAACACAGTATGAATTTCACAATACCGAAATTCTACAATTAATATATATAACCGACTAAATGCGCTCTACGTTTACTCCTTCCAAATATGAACAAAACATTTGTTCGATGTTTCTTTTTGTTCAATAATGAATGTCATTATTACACATCTTCAATGATGCACATCATTCAGAGACTTATGAACATTTCTTCTTTTTTCTAAATGATATAATGCAGTTTTCGAACATGTCACTTGAATCACCTTTTCTGTCAGAGTAAGTAAATATTTATCATCAAATTTATACTATCGACTAAAGTCTGATGCCATGAACGGATTTACCGTAAACTCAATTTGGAGCTTTCGTGTTAAATCAAAATGTCAACCGCGAAAGTTCTCTTACAGATCAATAGTATCTTTCTCAAATCTTTCTAGGAGTTGAGTTATTATAAGTTGTTAGTATATTATGATTGGATATTTTATTCATTTGATCGACTGCCTTGTGGTTGCTTATAATCTTTTTATTGGTTGTTAGGTCAGTTGTTTATAGATAAGTCTATCGATTGGTGATTAACTTGATATTCAGTCTCCTTTAAATTCTTTGAGATTATTTAGTTTTTCTTTGCCCTAGATTTTTAAATATTCAGTTTCTTAATCAAATACCTTTCCAGTGTTATCTACATTTACCTTCACTTAGTTTTAATCTTGATAGTTTATTTTACCGCCACTTCTTTTACATTTATATAAGTAAGTTTGATTTTTTCTTAACCGTGTTTTAATTAGTCATTGAATGTGAAATCATTAATCACGATCACAGCCAATGTTTATGCAATTTCATTTTCTAACAATATTAATGAACAACCATTTGTCCCGGCTTCTTATTAGCTGATATTTATTGAACGTTTTTCATCTAATTGCGAAACTTTGAGATAATTGATTAAATTGAAAAAGCGTTTCGATTTGTTTGCCTTAATTTGAGATTATATTTGATATATGCTTATGTTTACTTTCAATATTACTAAATCATCTAAATAAAGTCTATGAATTCTTACTGAATAAATTGAAATATTTACTAATCAAACTGTAAAATTCTTAGACATAATCAACCATTAGAATGCTATTGTCCCTAAGAAACAATAGATAAGTGATTAGAGAACTTTACTTTTAATTATTATGTGATAAATTTCAAACTTTGGCACTTACTTAGATTAAATAAACTAAATAGTACCACCAGCTTTTACATTTCAGAGTATCTCAAAGTTGAGTACATGTATTTGTATTTGCTACTGAGTTGGATCAAACTGTGTTTATAACTTTTTATATAAAAGCTTTAGAAGAATGGGTTGTTTGCTAGAAATTCTAATTCCATTAAAGCTTCCTTTAGGTACAAATATTATCGGGTAAATTAATTATAATCAAGGAGGACTGGAAAACTAATTTGGTTTCATTATGGTGGCTACTTGGGAAACTTCACACTACAACGTGAATCACACATATCAAATTAGTCAACCAAGGAAACGTTTATTAGATGATAGATGTCCTATACTGAACCGTAAAGTCTATTTTTTCGACACTGATATTGTGTACGAATTTCTGAAACGACTTCTTTGTATATCAAGATTGTATTTTCGAAATTCTGTACTCATTTGAGCTGTCTATAAAAATGATCTCTTCAAGTAGTACACACATTTTTGATCACAAATATCGATGTTGAAGCTTTTTATTCCCGTATCTTTTCGAAGATTTCTGTATCATATTCGGACTTTGAGATTCTGCTCCAAAGACATTTCTATGAGAGTGTACGGGTTGGGCAGTATACGGTCTCATCATTAGCAAAACACAAGTGTTTTACTATTCGTTTCTTAAACTCTTAAGATTAATTTTACGTATTTGTCAACAGTTCAATCTTTTCATCACATACAATGAGACCAAAAGCAAAAACATGAAGTAGCCAGTGTTCAAATCTGAACTAATATTGCTGTAATCAGCTATAAGTGAGAGAATTAAGTATTAGTGTACCATTCAAAGCATTTTGTTTTGTGTTTTGTAGATCAAGTAAACTTTTATAAAATCACTTGCGTAACACTCTTAAGTTTGGTAATATTGTTAATCAGAAAAAATAATTTTCAATTGACCAATATAGTTTTCGTAGACAAAAACAAGATCTTACGCAATTGCTAGAAACAAATTTGAGATATGAAAACAATTTTTAGTTTCGACCTAAACAAAACAGCACAGACACTTGATATGGTCTCTTGTCTACCAGACTGTACGTCACTCTTTCTGTTAACATAAATCACATGTACTCTCTGGAATACATATATATATATATATATATATAATCAGTGCTTTATCTCTTACATCTTACTTTTACATTAGTAACTTTGCATTAGTACTGATGTATGTCTTTTTATTGCTCAACGAACAAAAACAAGACAGTTGAAAACATTTACACGTAAAGCTATAGTTTTATAATACGTTTTTACCAGGTAAATATTCAGGTATTTGTATATTTATAGTGCTCAATTTATTTGTTTTATTTGACAATAGCGATACATTGAATCACTTATCGTTGTTATCATTATTATACTAAATAACTGTATACTCTGATAAAACATAGTAGATATGTTCTTATTAGTTTTTATTTCTTGTAGGGAAAGTTTTTATTGCATACTTATAAATTAAAAAAAAAACAGGATATATTTGATTTTTGGCATTATGTAACTTACAGGTAGCTAGTGCAAAAGTAGTTCATTTCTTAGTGATCTTGGATAAAACAAATATAGATACAGAATAATATGAAGTCATTATATTTCGTGGTTTCTCATCAGCTGCTTTCAACCAAATATGTATTTGAATTTTACATTGAGATAAGAAATAGTATGGAACAATTGATATAAGTGTATGTAAATAATTGACATCGGGCATACGATTGACATTACTTATGCTTTTAAAATTATTAGCAGACAAAAAAATACTGCTTCTCTTCATTTTGCTGAAGCGATCGCGATAAAAAAAACTCAAACCGGATCTATGTATTCAAAAAGAAGCAGTAATAAACCTATTACTACCCTGGTACTTCATTTTTATTTTATTTTTTTGGTCATTAGTTTCATTTTGTTAATGTTTAGTTTGTATTATATTTCTCTTCCATTACCGAATTTTAAACCACCCCTTCACTCACAAATTTCCATTCATTTGATTCTCTTAACTTATGTGAACTCTTCAAAATCTATTCAATTATTACGTAACACATCTTATAGAGCTTGTGACTTCAGGCAATATCGAAGCAGTTCGCAGAGGAGGCACATATACCAACAAGAGATTGATCAATTACAGTCCTAAATAACAATAGGAAGATACAACTAAACAACGCTAAGTGAATTTTACCCATCTTATCAGTTTTTAATTTCATGAATCTTGTGTAAACACTTCATTACCTCAAAAACTATCACATGATTTATCTTATCTGTCTCTGAATTCCACTTAGCTATTACATCACCCATCTTTAATGTATATATATATATATATATATATATATATATATATATATATATATATATATATATATATATATATATAAACTGGTCGCTTTGTTGTGAAATTTAACTCTATATTCTAATGGAATCGACTTTCAAAGACAGAATAAACGAACAAATAACCAAGTACGTAAACAGATATTCTGGAATTGAATCTTTAATCTAAATATACGATGTATTCGGGAAAAAATAGCACAGATAAGAAGTAAATAATCAAAGATAAGAAATAAAAATCTCAAAATGACCATTTGAACATATTTAATCATTAATAAATTCGTACGAGCACATACATAAGGAGTCTTAGAAGTCGGACGAAACACTTGTCCTTCGAGCTTATGTTTTATGTCCTATCCAAGTGACATCAATTTGTTTTGAAGAATAATTCAGAAATTTATCTACAATTTATTGATTTATTCGGTACTTGAATGATTTGTTCAGTTTAGATTTTTGAAGTTCAAAATTTATCTTCTACAGCATACTTTGGTTAAGTGATTTACAATATGTCACGATTCATACTTTCAATCAGTCACAATCGTTTTTGTTACTAATTGAATAAATCAAACAAACTGGTCACTAATGTTTCGAAAAGTCTAGTTTAAAGAACAGAGCTCTGAATAATACTGTATATGCATCATTTTTCCTATACTTGTCATTTTTAACTTATTCGTAGAAACTAACAAATGAATCGTTGTGTCAACTAAGTAAACTACATGAAAATATCTAGAAGAGAACCTACTTATATTTTTTGTATTAAAACGGTTGGTAAATGTTGATATGACTATCGCTTTTTAAATATTTGCTTGTAGTTAATATTTTTGATAACCAAATTGAACTTTTATTCACTTGTTCAATATATGCTTATTATAAACAAAATCATGTCTGGTTTTGCCAAGTATATTTGTCTAATCCTAACCACTACATATTTTCAAGATGAACAGACATACAAATTAAGTTATCACATTTCAAATCAAAACTATGAGAGAGAAGCAAACAGAAGTAAAAAGCAACAGTAGTGCAAAATGAAAATGAAAAAAATTGGAACAATACAGGAAAATGAAAATGAAATAGTATTAGGGTTTCTAAAACTTAGAGAATGGCAAATTACTAATGAATTCGATGCAATCCAGACGATTGTGTGCATTCTACGCAGTGTGTTACAAGTTATTATTGTTACTTTTCTTAAAAACTGAAGTGACTAGCTATCGAGACCACACAGATAGGGTTGTATTTTACTCCAATGCTCTAAAAATTACCCCATTTTATGTAACTAATTATTCTAAATCAATATTTCCATAGACATTTAAAAATAACCGATCAATATCTAGTCCTAACCTTCTCCTCAATTCCTTAGAGGTTTTTTTTAAAATTATTAACTCGGTCCAGATTGTGTCCCTTTCTTCATATAAGCTATTAACTTTTTAGTTTTATTAATAATCGGGAAACAGTCCGTGTATTTCTTTTCCTACATTTTTTACAATTTACGACGAATGAAATTATTTTATGGTTCACAGTAAACCGATTCATTATCATTTTCTTGATTAACGAATGTTTTGTTATTTATCTTAAATAACTACTTATTTATCCATTTAATCACTTGTATGGTTCTTCTATCAAAGTAATATAGACCACCACTTTCTTACCTATTGGTACAATCTTCATTGCTTTTGTCTATTTTATGCCAATTAACCGAGGAGTATTTAGTTCCTTTTTGAAATTTCAACCAATTTCATTGGTAAATGGTGGTGACTTTTGAAAGATATAATCATTTGTATGCATTTGTGAGAAGTTGGTTTTTTATACAGTGATTGATAGTAGTAATTTTTGAGCGGTAGTACATGAATACGATAAGCAATGTATAGACACAATTAATATTAAATAATTGTCTTTTTCCCCAAAGAATACATGTCAAGGTGAAGTGTGATTTCCACTAGAATCTTACTCTATCTGCAATAAAAATGAAAATTGTTCTGCAGTAGAGAAGTCGAAATTTATCGAAGTTCATTATCTCTCAACAGCATACAGCAACAACGAAGGATGATACGTAGGACATTGAAATTGGGAAGTTACCACGATAGGTTTGAGATACAACATTATTTCTAATAAATCAATACTATGTTAGGATCTTCATCCAATTTACGCATTAGTGTATCACAGGCTAAGACAGGTTGACATTAAAAATCTTAACTTTTGACTTTACGTCCGATTTTTTAAGTAGTCCTAATAGTTTGTAAAGAAAACTGTAAATAGACTGATGATAATGGAAAGATCTAAATTGGAATGATCAGAACATTGAATGTTTTCTTGATTTTAACGATTCCCTTTTTCCAATGAAAGCTAACTCGGAATATATGGTGCAATTTTTCTCAAAACAATCTATTTCATTAATCATAGTCAATTCAATAGTGATATTTTATAGAAAGCTAACTTGATTTAAAATGAGAAATTATTTGAAACCAAAATTGTATCTATTTCTTTATTGTTGTTTTTCATAAACTAATATCTTTGTTGAATATGATTCATAGAATATGTATTAGTCGACTTTACATTTATAATTGATATCATTCTTCACTTCATGTCATCAATAAATGTATCTTCATCAATGAATGGACCACCAATGTAGCTCACTAAGTTTTCTATGGATAGTCTACAAAAAATTTCGTATTCATGTTTCATGCTCTTATATATGCATTATTCATCGAAGGTCAGTTGTAAGCTTAAATAAGTCTCTAAAAGTAGAACTTCGATTTCATGGAATTACAGTTTTCTTAGTATTACGCTAGGTCTCATCATATTGACAGGTGGATTTATAAGTAAGTAGAATAATACTTCAGAAAAACACTTAACTTTTTAAAGGTTATAAAGTCAATTTTACTGAATAGTGACACGCACAAAATATTAATCTGGTCAGCTGTCTAATGTATCCTGTTAAAGAAGTTTGACATGAACATTTTCAACATTCTATTGTGCATATTTATTGATCTTTGCTAAACATAAAGTATAAACAACGATTACTTAAGTAGCATAGATATTTTTCATACAGAATATCATTTTGTGACTGTTTCTTTGCATACGTTATTATCATTGATTGTAACTTATCAAATAAAATCAATATATGACTATTTTGAAGCTAATAGATTTTAAATGATTGATAACCTTTATTCATTGTTAAGTCTTAGTTTAAGAAAATGAACTTAAAAGAAAAAAAAAGCTAAAGACTAATTGATTTTTCGGCGAGACTAATTTATGAACGAATCAATCACGTACAAGATAACAGGGTTTTGGATTTTGGAACGAAAATTCTAAATCTAATTCCTAACATTGACCATCAACTGTAAATCATAACTCACACAGCTTTACAACCCTCATTTGGTCCTAGTTATTAGATGAACACTGTTAAGGTCAGTTTAGTGTTGCTCAAAAGTTGTCCATAAATTATAGTCTTATTGATTTTTTATTTCCATTACTTCTTTTGACTGATAGATCAAGTAGATTTCAATCTACATAGTATTTAAATACCGTCAAAAAAACAAATAAATAATAAGAAAATGTAAAGTCTTGTGATGATGATGAATATTTGTAGTTCAATAGTATATCATTAGAAGTAAAAATCTGGCATAATTTTTATTATTTAAAAAAAAATCGGTTTTGAATCATTCTACATGGCATGATCAGAGCTTTATATGTAAAAGTATCAAATTTATCACTTAGAAATACTGTTATTAATGTATGCATTCAATGTATGACTAGATATATGGTATTCGTATGGATGATAGAAAATTTTCTACAATCACAAATAAGAGTAATTTTTATAATAGCAAATCTTAGATTAAACAAGGTCTCTTTTTATGACTTGTCTACAGTTATAAGCAAAGATGGATAGTGTGTAGCAGTGAAATCTAGAATGCGTGTTTCTTCCTATTTGGGACTTGTCAGCTGGATGTACCTGCTTCTCAGAGTTGATGTTCACTTCAAGACTCGAATCCAGTGCCGTTCGTTTCAAATATCATTGTGTTATCCATTTAGCTACTAAGTTTTGACAGACACTTGGTTGTGCAATGGGATGAAGTTTAAATTCATATGGTATTATTTACTTGAGTTCTCCCATTGATATTTAAAACTGTAATTGATCAGTCTCTTATTGACATATGTGCATTCTATACATATTGCCTCAATGTTACCCTAATTCATATATATTATAAGTAATGATGAATGATTTAATTTGTTTACACATAATCTTTCAATATGAATATCTTATTACCACTAAAAAGTAAACTATTGTTCTGACGATCATCTTAAAATCAGTATTAACATCAAAATAACATAATAATCTGAATGTTTTTCTTAAAAAAAAAGACTATTTAATATTATTAATATAATATATAAATATACACTTTTAGTGGAGTTTTGTTCTCTGAATTGGATAGTTTAATACATGACTAAACCATCCAGATCAGAGAACAAAACTTCATCAAAATCATCTATCTGAACTATATATAACTCTTCTCTATTATCTCAATATACACTTTGAATGTTAGATATTTAGTTAAAGTTTGATTTGAAATAATCAATAAATTCAATCGATAATCATTTAAAATGTTATGTATTATGCTTTTTTTAAAAAAAAAACAAAAAAATTTTTTTTGAATTTATTTAAAATGTATATACATATTTTTATTGATTCATTAATTTATTTGTATTAATTAAATTAATTTTAGTAAATATTTATTTATCTTTAATTATTATATTTAATTGATTAATAATAAAGAGTTAATATACATATTACTATTATTATTATAAGAATGTGCATATCTTTATTTATTTATATAAGAATTACATTTTTTATACTTATCTAATACATTTTATTGAATTGTGTTTGTTTTTCTATCAAATAGAAGTATATAACAATGAGTATAATTTTGATAATACACTCAATAATCTTTGAATATGGTTCTTCGTTTGTTTTTCTTCCAAAGTTTCATAGTCTTATTTTGTTAATGAAGTTAAATTGTAGTAAATAAGAACACCAGTGTAAACATTCGAATGTATTTAACATGAAATTACAGAACATCTCAATAAAATCTGAGAACTATATAATAAATCGTTCATTTGTAAAATATCAATCCATCATATAAAACTTAACTGTTCTTGTTGCAAACATCAATCCATTGTCTCAGATTTCATTGATTGCAGTGCGTTCCGTTCCTGTTCTTTCCTTATTGATCTTCTACTGAAATACATTCTATGCCTGACCACTGTCATATACTACTTGTGTGGATATAAGTAATCCATACCACATAACCAATTCAAAAGTGAGATAGTAATCTATTAATGTGAATGGATAAGAATTGTGCTATAACACAAGTTGGCTGAATTAGAAATAATAAACCATCGTATTTAAATTGATTTTCTACTATTCGTTTGAATCTTCTCATTGATGTTTAAGACTACAATTGATTAGTCTGTTGTTGGCATATGTACATCCTGTGTGGATTGCTTCGATGTTGTCTTAAATCACAAGCATTATAAACAAAAATAGTGGCTATCGAAACTCAGTACCTTAAGTGGATAACGCAATAAATTCGAAGTGAACGACATAGGGTCTGAGTCCCTGAGTAAACACTAAGCCTACGGTACAGATGCATGCATCTGACGGGTTGCGAATAAGAAGAAACGCGCGTCCTGGATTCCACTGTTAGCCGCCATTCATCTTTGTCTTTGTAAATGTATCAGAAATCTTTCACCAGAAAATGATGTTCACCTTTCCAGTTTCAAAATGATAATTTATCACTCATTTCTGTAATAGTACCCAATATCTGTCGATGGATTGTGGAGGTCTAAATTTTTGTGTATATAGTTTTTTGAAACTATAGATCTCATCAATAAACTAGTCCAGCGTTAGATGATTCCCAAAAGTTAAAAAATCGTTATTTAGTAATAAAAGTGCTTAAAACCTTGTATATTCAATGCAATTTAGGCAATGAAATTAGGAGTTATCGACTATATAGAAAAATTTGCATTGTAACTACCATTCACAAAATTGGTCAAAAGATAATAGAGTACTTTACTTACATAATGTATGCTACATAGATTGTTAATTTTATTAGTGGCCCGAGATCTGATTCCATTTGGATCGTATAATGATTGTTATTGAAATATATATATGTCAGATACTATCATCGACTTAAATCGCGTTAGGGAATAACGCAATTAGATAGGTTAAATACGACACTGAAGTTTGAATGCGTATATTTCATACAATCGCTGATCTGAATAGACACTCAAGGAAACGGAGTGAAGTGAAATGACGCACGGTGGAGAAGGCATGTAAGCCAACTCAATTTAACCAAGCGTTAATCGATATTAGTAATCGAGCAAAAATAAGTTTAAGATATATGATGAATAGGATAAGAAGTGCACACATATGCCGATATAAAAACAGTCAAGGTTGATAAGCGGATATTTGACAAGGTCAAAATGTGACCTTTCTGGATCCCACTGATAGCCACCATTCATCTTTGTTTATTATATTTAAGTTTAATATTTTAAGCATATTTAAGAATCGTTGTATAGATACTTGAGCACGAGGGGTGCTTTCTCATTAACAAGGAAATGGTATTAGATAAACAACTTAACAGTGAGTGATATCATTTCCATAAATCAAAAGTGATCTTCCATAAAATTTGTGTTATTACTAATTCACTGATTATACAGATTCTTAAACCTCCTTGTATAATCAAAAGCACGAATTTTAAGGTTACCGCTTCATAACACTATTTAGCTCACTTTTTCATGAATTCACACATAATAAATGTAAACTATAAGATCATTTATAGAAAGATTAACTACCTTGCAATAAAGAAAACAATAAATTGTAAGCATATGGATGAATTTTGATTTAAAGAGTTAAAAAGCAAGTTTGCATTTTGAAAAATACATGAGTGCGGTAAAAAGTGCTATGAGAAACTAAAGTTCAGTATATGTTTCGTAATACGTGTTTTTCATCGATGTGTACACCAGTTAATGATAGTAATGATTATTTCAGGATTATTTTGAAAGGCGATTGCTTTCCAAGTACGATTATATACCTGTACTTTATCTAGCATTTTAATACGCTGGAATTTTCTTTAAAACATGTATTTTCTTTTTCTTATGAACTAAGGAACTAATTCACGTCTGATAATGTGTACATTACATTGTATTAAATTGAATAAGAACAGATTTATGCACCGAATTACGAGTTACAAACGAAAGTTGGTGAAATTAAGTTTACAACAACCTGCTATTGAGATAAAACTCACCAATAACCTGGTAGTTTCTAGTAAAATAAATATTTATTATTGTTCTTGTCAGTTTATTTATGACCTTATACATTTAGTCATAAAGTTCACTAGGTTCCACGTTTTTAGTTACAATTATGAATATATTTTGGTTTAGTTTTTACAGTATAAACTTTGACAAGTTAGACATTAACGCCATTGGTTGCCGGCTTAGTGGTCTAGTTGGTTAAGCGCTTGGCACGAGACTGAGAGGTCCTGGGTTTGAATCTCGCGAGGTGCGGGATGGTGGATGCGCACTGCTGAGGAGTCCCATACTAGGACGAAACGGCCGTCCAGTGCTTCCAGGTTTCCCATGGTGGTCTAGCTTCAATTGACTCGTGATTTCAATCTGTAACCATATTTTAATCAATAAGTAAAATAAAACAAAATTTGAATAAGTTTATCATTTAAACACTCAAATCTTTGATTCAACAGTTAGGCAGAATATACGATCTATCTGGGATGTCATTGAACTTTAACTAAAAGAATATATTGTAATTAAAAACGAGAAAATTAGTTAAATGATTCAAATATTTGTAAATTATAATTGAAATCTAGAAAAATCTATTTAATTGTATGAAAGAGTTGACCGATAAAAGTTAATTATCATAGTGAATATATGAATGTGATAGTTTAATGATGTTTAGTTTATAACGTTTTTTAATATAGGTCATTTATGGAAAAATTGATCTTGCATTAAAAATTAAATAAAAAGATATTTTTAGTATACGGTTGTGGAGATTGTTGAGTTATAATTGAGATCATGTACCGATCAATTTTAGACGATCATTGAGAACCTGAAAGGATTGAATGACCATTTCGATCTAGTGTGGGATTCCTCAGAAATATGTATCCACAATCTATCATGTGAGACTCAAGTAGAGAACCTTAGGCCCCATTTTTATGAAATTAAAAAAAGATTTTTACGATACCATTTGTTTACATTGTCAGAAAACAGAAAAATCTATAAAGAAATCAGTTAACGATATGAACATACATCTTTTGGTTGATAATATTCCACTCAAATAAATGAGTTAATTTTTACGTATTGAATTAAATCAAATTGAATTGTTTGTAGGTCGTCAGAACATTAGTAAACCAAAAACGTATTATGTAAAATTGCTTCACTGAAATAAATACTGAGATGAATGACATATACTTTGTTAACATTGAAACAATTTAATACTATTTTTTTGAGCATTTGATTAATGTATCAGTTTAGTTATCTACAAACTGTATTATGATTTCTTTAAAGTTTTTTGAAGATAAAAACAGATTATATTTTGTTACTGTAATTCCTGTGCACTCCAGTGCATCGTGTCAGTTTGTTGTAGATCTAAACACTTAATAAATCTAAGGTTCTCGGTATAAATAAACACAATTTCCTTGATAGAATTGCTTGAAATAAATAGTCTTTATGGAGTAACATCTTTTCTATTGATGGTAATCTGAGGACAAGTTCACTTTTACTTATCTGTGATGAATCTGTATTTTGTTAAAGAGGCCAACATTCTACTTTTATCTAGTAGTGATGCTTAAAAATTTCGTTAATTAATGTTGATAGTTAGTTAAAACTGATTAATCAAACAGTGTTATAGTGATAGAAGCTCCTTGTTCATAAGCATTCACTCACAAATCTCAAACTCCCTATCAACTACTTTGATTCAAGAAGAAGTATCGCTTAAAGACGAGAACATGAACAAATAAATGGTTATTGAGTTATATGTTAAACATGTTATTACATTTGCATAATTTTTTTAAAATTAAACCAGAAGAGTAACTTTATGCTAGTGATGAATGTCCATAACGTTCAAAATCTGAAAAAACCCACATTTCTCAAATCGATAAGAGAGAAGCATCAATGAACATAATCATTTTGATGCCGGCTCAGCGGTCTAGTAAGTTGAGCGTTCGCGCGCGAGACTAAAGGCCCTAGGTTTGAATCCCTAGAGCGAGACTGTGGATGTGCGCTGCCGAGGATTCCCACAATCGGACGAAATGGCCGTCTAGTGTTTCCAGGTTTTCAACGGTGTTCTAACATCAATCAGTTCATGATCTCAATCAATAACTTAATAATCTCTATAACCCTATTCTAATTATTTAAATATGTTCGAACGCTATTTTATATTTATTCATATGCTACATAAACAATTAGCTTATTTTGTTTGTTTTTTCGCATTTCAGATTTCATTACATATTGATCAAACCCATGCAGGAAAATATTTTTCATTCAATCAAATAATTCGAAAATTTGTCAAAACTGAAATTTATTTTACATTTGTTGTTTTTCTAAATTAAAATAATAAATCAATCACTTAGACATATTCAATGATAATTAATTATACAATAATACTTTACTAATATTGACATCGTTTTTGTTTTAATTATTTCTTACTTTCTACAATTTTAAATAATTTTTTCAGATAATTTAAAGAAAATAAATTTCAAATTTCAAATTCTTATTTTTTTTCTTTTTATTCTTCATTTCAAATCAACCAATCAACGTAAAGTGATTTGATTGACTAATTAATTCAATGTTAAAGTATTATTTAACGATACAAAAAAATAATAACACGAAACATTTATACACAATCATGATGATACATATCGATCATTGATTGGTTAATACGAATAAATTGTAGTATATACGAAATGATCCATGAAAAATAGATAGTAACTTTAAAATTTCAAAGGAAAAAGACCAAAAAAACACAATATCATAAATGGTTATTTTATGGATTATTCATTATTACTTAATATAATTATTCTTCAAAAAAACAAACAAACTATATCTTCATTGTTTCTATGCAATACAAACAAATGCATAAATGTTTCATTCATTTTTTCCCCTGAAATATGAAACAATATTAGTTATTTCAAAACAATAAAGGAATTACAATAATTAATCTAAAAAAATTATTCATATTAATATTAAGAATAAAATAATGTTCAATGTTTTCAATCTTATGGAAATTAATTAGCGCTTAAATTTCATTTAATTTATTTTAATTATATTGAATTACGAATAAAAGAAATAATAATAGTTTGATTTAATCATATAAAATTAACGATGGATAAGGATTTAATCAAATGTAATTCACAAATAAACAATAATACAAATAATGAAATGAATAATAATACCATTACTATTACTTCTACTAACAGTGAATTGTCAAAATATTCTAGAAGACATTTAGCTATTGCTGATGAATGGATTCAAGCAACTGAAGCAAGATATGATTCAATGGAAAATTTATTACAATCAGTACGTCATGATATAGATGTATTAACAGAACGTTTAGATCAGACAACACCAACATCACCTGAACTTATAAGATCAACAACAACAACAACAGTAAGGATTGGTAATAAACAAACTAATATTGAAGAGGAAAGCTCACCATCAAAATCGGAACAATTAAAACTATCATCACGTCCACTTCAAAAAGAAATAAGTCAATCTTCACTTGTATCTCATCAAAAAGATTTATCAGATAACTTGAAATGTATTCCTGAAAAAGAACTATTAGGTTTAATGGCTGACAAAGATGAGTTTATGGATATACGGATCCGTCCAATAAAAAATCGTCTTCCCAACTCTAACGAGGATGAATTATTTGATTCTAATAATATTCATCAATTTAATGATAATCGTGATGATATTAATCACTACAATAATGCTACTACCACTGCTAATAATAATGAGTGTAGTATTGGGGAAGATAAATATTTCACAAAAACATGGAGATCACCATCTGATTTCAATCTACATGATCCATTCTATGATAATTCATACGGTTTCACCAATGAACATTATGATAATTGTAATACTGACAATGCTAATCAGCTTAGAACCATGCATTATGTTAAAATTCGACAAATGGAAAGTAGTCATAGAATAAATGATGACAATGATAATGACGATGATGATGATGATGAAGTTATTGAATATAATTTTCCTTCACATGATCACCATTCCATGATAGAAACTGATTTGGATGATTATCAACCAGATAAGCAAGAAAATAGTACTACAGAATCGGAGAACAGTTTGTCACCTGCTATATCACCAACATTTGGTAATTTAGCCTCAGACGAAATCAAATTACAAAATATGATTATATCAAATAATGATACAATTACGTTATCAATCAGTAATAAATATTTGACTGAAAATAACAATGATGTGAATAATAGAAATTTAAATAGTGAAGATTTTAAAGTCTATGATAATGGGCATTCATTAACTACAATCGATGAAGCTTCGGAAGAGAACGATGACGATGACTGGTCGTCATATGAACATGAGATTTCTATAAATAATGGTAACAGTAATAATACTACTGAAAAACCCATGGAAGATATAATGATTTCAAAACCTTCGTTTGAATATTACCAAGATGATAAAACACCAATAAATCAATTAACAAATCAGGGATTTAAATCATCTTGTACCAATAGTAATGATAATAATACTGATAAGCAGGAACATATTATAAGACAAAATGAAAATGTTAACCAGATTGCTTTAGAACATCGACAGCAACAAATTGAGACGATAAAATATAATCTCGATAACAACAATAGCAAAACTAATTCCTTCATATGTAATGAAAAATGTATAAGTACAAGTGAATGTAGTCAACAATCACCTAATATCGTTCCATTACGACCTAAAAAAATAGATAATGCATGTATAACTACAAATAATTTTAAATCACGACCAGTTTCAGCTGAAATTCGTAATATTAATATCAATAATAGCAATAAAAAACTAGAAAAGTCACATTCTGGTTCTTTAACTTCTATGTTATCAACAATAAGTCAAGAAGGTGTAATCAGTGAAGCTGATTCCTATGTAACTGTATGCAGTAATCTAATTGGTACAGGCAGTGAGGAAGCTTATATAACAGCACAGAGTGATTCAGATGCATTCAATGAACAAACATTATATACAAATTCTCACACAGATGAGGAGAATGATTACCAAACATTATCATGTAAAAAAGTTAAAACATTATCTTGTCGTAGTCAAAAACGTAAATATATTACTGATCCAGATCTGGATAGTCAGTCAGCATCGGATTTAGAAAATGATAATGAGACTATTCTAGACTCAACGTTAACCACATCGACACCAGTAACAGTTACGCCGAAATTTACTAAATTACCATCAAAATTAATTGCATCCTCTGAGAATACTGTCGAATTAGAACAAAATGATAATGAACCATTTAATGAAAAAACATATATTATGGATAATAATGGTAATTTATGTGATATACATAAATATGAAGCATTATCAATAAATGTTAAAGGTTAGTTTGATTTTAATCAATATGTGTTTGTAGCCTGAGAAACAGTATTTAAATTACCTAGAATATACATCATTCCAGTTACATTGACTTTGTTTGAAGTATTTCTGAAAGATGGTGTAAGGATTCATAGATATTTAGACTTATCAACATGCATCTTTAACACCAGTTGGTACGCATTGAACTAACTTGATATTCTGACACAGTTGTACTTTTAATCACGATAAACTAATTTCTTAAACATTTTAGTAAAAAGACACTGTTAACAAGTACTTAATTACTGTTGCTGGTTATGTATTTTACTTAATATTAGCAAAATACACAAGTCCAATAATGAGTAGGTAGGCGTCTCCCACATCATTAGGCACTTAAAATCAATAAGAAACTTTATTCAGTCTTTCTAACAATTATTTGTGGAAATTAACTTAATTCATAGTTTTGTGTAATCTGACTAGTCTCGTTTGTTGAAGAAACTATGCATAAACTTTGAAAAGCAGTACGTCTTTAAATACTTTCAATTTTTTTTTACTAAAAAGTCAACACTGACATATTTACAAATAGATACTTCTCAAATGTTGTATATAACGTGATTTAAATTGTAAGGTGAAACATTTTTCCGTCAGTGGAATTGACGACCTTATAATGTTTTAGCAAAATGTATAATAACACAAAGACATTGATTAACTAAGAACTGTATAAAGCATCTCATTCTAGAGGATTATTTTTTTGAAAATTTTCAAAAATAACCCGCATCATTGGTAAACTAATAGACGTATTGTTCAATATTCAGGCTTCAAAAAAAAGAAAATATTCTCCTTGAACTAATTTTTAGATTTCTGACTTTTTAAAATCTTTTTATTTTAATGAAATACTAGATGTACTACAAACTAAACATCAATTCTATTGATAAATAGGCCATAATTTGTCATAATTTATGATTCAATGAGTCGTCATTTCAACTTTTGTTTATTTGATATCAGTATTAAGAGTTTATATAAATTAAACAAATTATTATGTGATTAAGGTTAAAAGTCTTAAAATAAAAACAATCAATTAAATAGTTAGCGATTTTGTTGGTTTTTAAAAATTTTATGTAAACAAAGTGTATTTAAAAATTGATTATGTAACTAACGCACAATATTGATTTTTCTTTATCAGTTGAAAAAATCGGTAAATTAGATGCACCATACAAATCACTCACCATTGACTAGATACATTTCTAAAATTTACTAAGTAGACAAATTGTGGTTGCCTTCTTTTTGAAGTTGAGTGACTAAAAGCACTTAATAAGAAAATAAGATTACATGATGTATATGTTGGCATTATTTATGAAACCATACTGTCAAATTCCAAATGGCTTCAAATCATGAAATTCTATTAATAATTAATGAAGGTGATTGTTGGCAGTGGGGAAATCTATTTCAGTCTTGTATTGATGTTTATAGATATGAACTTTGTATATCTACTCTTGAAGTAATAGTAGATTTTATTAAATTAGCGACACCTGAGAAACTGCTTTCAGAGGTTTTAGCAAATGAACACAAAACATTATGTGACAAATAATATCTACCAATAAATTTAAAAGTGTGGCCTAATGATCACGTTTGCTAACTGGATAGATAGAAATAAACAATATGACATAATAATTATGACGATTGTAGAATTTTCATAGTTTTAATCACGAACTGAGTTTAGCTAGACCAGTATTGAAAACCTGGCATGTCACTCCTCAGCAGTGCAAGCCTACGACTCCGGAGTAGGAAATCGGACCCAGAACCTTCGGTCTTGCTTGCTCAGTGGTCCAAAAGTTCACCATCTGCTGACAGATTTAATTTCAAGAAAATTGAATGGTGCCATAGTGAAGATTATGTATGATGTTTTATATACAGCTTTACTCTTATTTTCATTGTTGTATAAAGACAGGATCATAGATTTAAAGTATGTTTGAAGAAACTATGTGTAACTATAAATCAATCGGTTTAT